AAATAAATAAAATCTTTAAAAAAAAAAAAAAAAGAAAAAGAAATGTTGGGGAAGAGGTGGAGAAATTAGAACCCTCACACCCTGGTGCAGCTGCGTGGAAAATGGTTTGGTGGCTCCTCAAAAAGCTAAACATAGTAACATCTGACTCAGCATTCCTCTCCTAGATGCATACCCAACAAAAGGGGAAACGTGTCGGGACAACAACCTGGACACAAATATTCACAGCAGCGCCGCTTGTAAACAGCCAGTCAGTGGAAACCCCCCAAATGTTTATCAACCAATGAGTGAATTTTAAAAATGTGGTATATCCATAAAGTGGCACGTTATTCGGTCATGACGAGGAATAATGAGCTGATAAAGGCCACACCATAGTTGGGCCTTTAACCATTATGCTGCCCGAAAGAAGCCAGACCAAAGAGATCATATCTTTTAGAATTCCAATGATATGAAATGTTCTCAAGAAGCACAGCAAACAGAAGGCAAATTAGTGGTTGCCCGCAGGGGGCGGTGGGAAAGGTACCCGGGACTGAGCACTTCCAGGGGAGGGGCTGAGAGCTGATGACAATGTCTCCCATTTGGCTGCACGACAATGCCAATCTACCAAAGCTGCTGAACTGTACGCTTTAAAATAGTTACAGTGGTGAATTTTATGGTATGTGAATGTCACGTCAATTAAAAGAAAAAAAAGGACAAAAGGAAGTCTTGTCACCTGAGTCATTCAAGACATGCAGGGCTGAGGTGGGGCTTACCCAGCGATGCCAGGTTCCTGCAGTTCTCCCGCATCACGTCTCTGTACAGTGTTCTTTGAGAAGGGTCCAGCAGTGCCCACTCCTCCTGTGTGAACTCCACGGCCACATCCTCGAAGGTCACCAAATCCTGAGCCATCACAAGCATCATGGCTTAGCCAAGGACCACCCCCACCAAGTTGACAGAAGGACAGGAGTAGAACTAGGTTGGAACCCCAAGCACAAGATGTACGGGCAGGGTTCTGAGCTCTGCTCTCCACTGCTCCTGGGCTCAGCCTGCAGGGCTCCTCTCCTGCCTACTGACGCCCACTCCCAAGGTGAAATGTACCTCTAACACGTAGGTGAGTCCCTTATTCCAGTGAGACCGTGGAATCCTGCAGTCTTATTTCCCTTGATCTCAGGGCTGAGCATAGGCCGGGACATGGCAGATGTCAGAGAAATACTTGGTAAATGAATGAGTGATTGCCCCACAGCCATCATCAATTACTTGAGTCTAGGACACCTGAGTTACCTTGCCCTTAAAACTCTCAGTGGAACATGACGTAGCCAGTGACCCTGGAGGAAGCTCTGCCATGTAGAAAATGTTGACAAACACTGCTGCTGGCTGGGCAGCCCCTCGGCCCCTAGGAGATGCCCGGAGACCCTGCGCTGGCTGAGACCTGGTTTGGCTGTGGGGCTCCAGGTCATTGAGAAATAGCAAATCCAACTGCTGATCAAAGGAATAATGATTTGGAAAGAGGAATATGTGACTCACCGGTAACCAGCTTGTCAGGAAGCCATGAACCAACCCTTCCTCCTCTGTGCATCCTTTTTGAGGAGAGGCTGAGTACAGGGAAGACTGAGCTGGAGAAGAAAAGAGTCGGAAGAGTCCAGGATTGCTCTATATTCTAGCACTCACCAGTTTGGAGGCTTCCTCACCTACCTGTAATTGACCATACCCCAACACACACACACACACACACACACACACACAC